CCTCACCAATTCCCTTCTGTGCCCCCATGATGAACTTATAGGCAGCCACAAGGTCGCCTCTCAACCTTCTCTTGCGGAGGCTGAAGAGGTCCAGGTGCCCCAGTCGCTCCTCATAGGGCTTGGCCTGCAAGACCTTAACCATATGAGTGGCCCTTCTCTGGACCCTCTCCAGGTTATCCGTATCCCTCTTGAAGTGCGGCGCCCAAAATTGCACGCAATATTCCAACTGCGGTCTGACCAGCGCCCGATAGAGGGGAAGTATCACCTTCTTGGTTTTGTTCGTCATGCATCTGCTGATGCACGATAAAGTGCTATTAGCTTTTCTGATGGCTTCGTCACACCACCGACTCATGTTCATCTTGGAGTCCACTAGGACTCCAAGATCCCTTTCCGCTTCCGTGCCTCCAAGCAGGTCATTTCCTAGGCAGTAGGTATGCTGGACATTTTTCCTCCCTAGGTGCAGCATTTATGCAATTCAACAAGGAGAAATGCATTCTGTTGTTTTCCACCCATATGTCCAACCTGTCCAGGTCTGCTTGTAGTTGTTCCCTGCCCTCCGGTGTGTCCACTTCTCCCCACAGTTTTGTGTCATCCACAAACTTGGACAGAGTACACTTCACTCCCTCGTCCAAGTTGCTGATGAAGACATTGAAGAGTATTGGTCCAAGGACCGAGCCCTGCGGGACCCCACTGCCCACACCCTTCCAGGTCGATACCGACCCATTCACTACGACTCTCTGGGTACGACCCTCTAGCCAATTCGCCACCCACCGGACTGTGTAGTCATCCAAGTCACAGCCTCTTAGCTTGTTCACCAGTATGGGGTGGGATACCGTATCGAAGGCCTTCCTGAAGTCTAAGTAAACGATGTCATTATGTCAGGTGATTTTGTCACATGTGTTATGTCAGGTGATTTTGTAGTTTTGTCAGGGTTGACTGTATAGTTTTGCTAATAGGTTAGACAGTGGATTTGTATAGGATGATTTGGATAAGGATGATCCTACCTCAGGCAAAGGATTGGACTAGACGATCTCTGGAGCTCCCTACTCTGATTTTATGATGATTTGTTTCTCAATTGACTCTTCAGATCTTCAAGTGATTCCCTTTTGTATTTATAAAACGCTTTACAGGTATTGGATGTTTAGTCTGAAGTAACCATATATTTTTATCAATGGCCTTGGTCTCATCAGAATATATTGTTTGTATTTTGTGTATATATATACCAGTAATAAATAGCTTTGCTTTTTACAATGTAAAGAAGCAAATTTATTTTTGATCTGTTCTAGATTTTTGTGGTTATCAGGGTGAATTATAAGAAATGCCAATTTGATTGCAGAATAAAATACTGTTCAGTGCACTAGTGAAAAATTAGTAATTAAAAATGTATCAAAAATGCTATAAAGCTATGGGTGCTGCTGGAATGATTTCATGATATAAACATCTTTTTTATGGCTGTAACTGATCTCCAGTTTTTAGAGAATGAAGGATTCGAGGGAGCAGTAGGGATGAGATGATTAAATAGTTGGCTGTGCTTTATCATTATTATTATTATTATTATGAGAAAAACAGTTGTTTCAGCTGGCTGTCTTCTCCCAGGGAGAGAACATTTAATAATAATAAAAGACTAATTCTGTGGTGTGCTTTAATGCTCATTTTGCTGTAAAGGGTAGATACTTCCTTTTGCAGTTGAGTAAGCACTGCAGTTTCAAGGAATGTAGCAGACCAAGGTGCATCTCTCTGGGTCAGGTTTTGAGTCTCTTGCTGTGAGTAAATCTGTGCACCTTGGTCTTTAGTAAGATAACATGAGGAAAGATTCAGCAGATGACCTGAAGTCTGTAGAATGATGTTTATAGATTAGTGCTAGCACGAGCATGTAAGTAACCAGGAGGTTCGGAAAACATTATTGGCTGGGCATGCCATACTTTCTAACCTCTATATTAGGCAGTACAAGTATTGTTTCATACTTGAGTTCTTGCTTATCGCTGAGAAATAAATGCTGTATTTACCTCGATCCAAGATGATTCTGAATTTAAGATGACTCCCTAATAATTAGATTCTGTCAATGAAAAGTGAATACATTTGTTATAATTTTCCATGTGTGGAATCTAATTATTGGAGGGTTGCCTTAAATTTGATCCCTCTTTCTCCACCTTTCACCCCCCCCCCCAACTGCTGCAGTGGGAAAAGCGGTACTGGGGGAAGGGGGGGGGGGAAGTGGCAGGAGCACATGGTGGGGGAGTCAACTGGCCTAATCCCTGCCCTTGTCCACCCACATCTTGCTTCCTGCTGCTGGTGCCCTGTTGCAGCACCTGCTCTACCCCCCACCACCTGCACCTCCCTGTTGCAGCAGCAATAGCTGTGGCCAGGCGCTGGAGTGGTGCAGAAGCCACAGCTGCTGCTGTCACTGCTGCGTAGCCAGGCTGTGGCTGGAGCAGCTGTGTGCTCTGTGCCCTGGACTGGAGCAGGACCAGAGCCATGCGAGAGCCAGAGGGTAAGTGAAGGAGGGGTGGGGTGGGGGAAGGGATGGGCAGCGGCTCCAACTATATTCTCAACCCTGAACCTGAGTCTGGGCAGGAGTCAGCTGCAGCAGCTGCTGGTCTCCCGCCACCACCTCCACCACCTTGTACTCCAGTCCAAGATGAGAAGCTCCCCCTGCCCCACTATGGTAGTAGCACTTTCTTCCAGAATCTCTGTCAGCTCCTGGAATGTTGGTTGCCTGCTTAACAGTAATAACATTAAGGAAACATAGTCAAACTAAGCTGGAAAATACAAGTGGTAATTTCACTCACTTTGTCAGGTGTTTTCAGTCATATTCAATGCTGATAGCAGCTGAGTATTGGCTTATACCCACCTTGTGTTTTGGAGCTATGTCATTTGGCTTTGGCCATACTTGGCAGGGGAAAAAATTAGGTCTTAATAAATAAATATGAGTCCAGCTAAGTTTGTTTCTAAGGGAGTAGTCCTGGTCAGTGCATCTGGTGGAATATGAACATGATTTGACTCCATCACCTTGCTGAACAAGTATGGGGTGAGCAAAACAGGCTGCATTTGATTCAGATTCAGCCCGAAAGAGAGACAGTGATTCCATTTGTTGATTCGGATCACTGTCCTGATTCGATTTGGCCGAATCCGAATCTGAAAATTCGATGCTGGTTCAGAGAATCACTGATTTGGCCATAGACACGATTTTAAATGCTTTTTCTACATACCTCAAGGTACCAGGTGCAGCTAGTGAACCCTGCAATGGTAGAGTGGTTGGAGTGTCCCACAGCAGCATGGGGGTGGGCCCCCTCCACATGCTCAGCGGTAAACCCAGAAGTGGACTGGAAGTACTTCTGGTCTGCTGCAGAGTGCGCCAGGGGGCATCTCCATACCCACCTGGCTTGGCAATCAGCCGTGGAGGGACCCCGGGTGTCCCCCACAGACCCAGGAGGCACTGGTCACCGAGCCAGGGGGGGACGGGATGGGCCCCCCAGTGTGCTCCCTGGCAGACCCAGAAGTGGACCGGAAATGCTTCTGGTCCACTTCTGGATCTGCTGCCAAGCGCGCTGAGGACCCCTCTGTGCTCCCGTGGAATGCTGCATCCACCCCGCTATCTCAGTATTCACAAGCTGCCTAGTACCTTGAGGTATGTAGAAAAAACATCTAAAGCTGTGTCTGTCTGAATCGTCGAATCTCTCCGAATCGTTTTGGAGGGTTCCGATTCGATTCGGAGAGATTAAAGGGTCTCCTGATTCAATTCAGATTCAGAGATTCGGCAACCAAATCGGGCCGAATCTCTGCCGAATCGAATCAGCGACTGAAGCTTCGCACAGCCCTTGTGTGAAACTGCCTTTGTTGGGACAAAGTTCACACACAGCTCCTATACCTGTTTGACACCCAGTAAATGTGTTTCTACATTGATTCTTTTAATAAATGGAGTAAGCCTGATTTCTTGGAGTCAGGGAGGTCTCATGACTTAAATTAGGTGAATCAGTTCAGGATGCAGGATCCTTGGAGTTCTTTCATACATAAACATTTGACAAAAAAATGGTAGAGGCAAATTAGGTGCATCTGTTACACCAACACTGTGAACGTTGATGTAATCTTTTTGATAAGAAAACTTATTTTACAAATTCGCCTGAAGGAAAAAATGCTAACATTTTCTGTGTATTCAATGATGAAAACCCAAACAAAAGCTTGGGAAAGGTCAAGGTCTCTTGGTTCTGAAATTTCAGTTCATTAGGTTAGGTTATAGTAGTTCATTACATAATGTTTTGGCAAAATGTTACTTTGTTTTTCACTGTCTTTTTAAACCTTAACAAACTTTCATGCTGTCTCTTTCTGGTTTGGAAAAGATTGAGCCTAAAATTTTAATTGGGTATGAGCTATGAAAAAGAACAACATATTGTTACTAAATGTATTTAACATAAATTTAAATTCTTTTAAAGATATATTGTCATCTGCTTGAATTACACTGTGCTTTTTTCAACAGTATGGAACTAATTTATTTTATAGCATTTAAAGCTGCAGTATATAGTTGTTGTTTAACAGGATGTAGAGACACTTGTTTTTTCCAGGTTCTGTTTCCCCTCTCTGTCTTTCTGCATATTGACCGTCAGTTAAAACAATACTCAGCAGAGAGGTCACCAAATGTTCTTTCCTGGCTAACAGGAGATGGTTGGAGTAATCTGACTCGTATTGCCACCTCTGCATATAATGGAGCTAAGCCAAAGAAATTTTTGCAGCATACAGAATCATAGGTTCAGGCCTTCAAATCTTTTGGCCTCACTAGGTGGCAGCATAATATAATGGAGATCGAGTCATTGTAGATAACCTTCCCTGACTTGTAGAAAGAGCCACTATTTCACAATTAAATTATAGATTGCTGTTGATTTAACCTCTTATTTTCTCTACAGGAAAACTTGTGTATGAAAGAATTTTATCCATGTGTGTGGATAGTCGTGTCTCTTTACCAGGTAATCTTTTTTCCTTTCCTGGGATTGTGCACAATTAAACAAGCCCTGCCTATCCTAAAACAAATTCAGCTTTGCTAGCATGTTTTAGCTGGGGGAAAGTATTACAAGTATACAGCTTAGTACACAACTTGGTTCCCATGCAGAGAACTTTTGTTTGTAGGTGAAAACTGATCTGGTTAATATTCTCTGAAAAGAAATTGTTATGCTCCTGCATGCTCAATTTGGATCTAGTTTTTGTTTAATTTTTAACAGAAGAAAATGTTTCTAATGGGTTGTTTTCACACTTCACTAGTTTTATTTAAGGTGATATCTCTTCAGTAAATTGCTTTGCATAAAACTTACTTTATAATAAAATGCACTAATTTTCATTTTAATTATGCCAGACGTTATCAGGGAATGTGTAAGGAAAAGCTGATTCTGGACAGGAGGAGGCAGCAGATGGCTGTTGAGAAAATCTTACCAAGGGATAAAAATTACCACTAACTCTTCTCTTTAAAACAAAGAAAAAAATGTCCTCTTTGTTCCCATCGTTTTGTGTTGCCTCTTAGTGTTTGAATGTTCCTGTGACATGGTTTTACCTGTCTTCACAAACAAAAATGTTCATGTTCTGATGCTGGGTTGCCATAACCATTTAAAATTATTTTTTATAAGTGAGGTGTAAATGTAGTTTTCTATAATTTTATTGTTAAATAAAGTATATAAGTACATGCTTTAGAATATACCCTAGGGGAGCAGGTCATTTCTCACAATTTAGTCTTACAAGCTTTAATATCTGCTCAAACATTTTTTTTTCTTTTCCTGTGTTCTTGTCCCCTCTCTGAGTGAAGAAGACAAAATATCTTGGAAGGTATTACCAGTGGTATATAGAATTAAGTTTTTTCTTAACTTATACAGGCTCAATATTTCTTATGCAGAACCCTTCCTAAAATAGCTATGTGAAAAGAGAACAGACTCATTGGTATTCGTACTCATTCTTTCTGTTCCAATAAGCTTTAGTATCGGATTCCTCTGCCTGCAGGAAACCAAACCATAGTGTAGGATTCACACTTTGAAGGATACCTGAATTCTGTTCATCTGAGAGAGAGAGAGCATGCAATTGTGTTGAAATGGTGCTGTGGATTTAACGTGATCAGCACTTGTTAATAAAATCAATATGTTACAGATAAGAATCTTTCAAAAAGCTGATATTATTTGAGTAATAATCCTTGCCTAGCGCTGTGTTATGTAAAGACATTGAGGGCTGGACATTATCAAATGTGTGGGAATTGCACTGATTCCCCAAAATTTCAACATAGACTAAGTGATCTGAGTAAGAACAACAAGCAGCAGATTAATAAACAGAATGGAGAGAAGCTTTACTTCCAGTCAGTTTTATTAAAATGCTTCCATTTGTATATATATATATATATCCTGGTTTCCCAATGGAAAGATATGTAGCTTCTGGAAAGAAATTTACTTTCCTCATTGCTTTTTCCAAAAATGGCAAGTCCAGAATGTGAATTGTGGAAAAAAAAAGCAAATGTCTGCTTTTTCTTGCTTTTTTTTTTTTTTTTTTTTGTGAATTGTGGAAAGAAAAAGCAAAAGTCTGCTATTACTTGCTTTTTTTTTTTTTTTTTTTTTTGGTTAATGTGTATGTTGGCCCATTGTAAAGTGAAATAGCTTTCCCATGCTGTGCAAATAGAGAATAACCCCTTGTAATACTTATAGCACTGTGAATGTTTGAATCTATCAACATGAAAGATAGAGACAGACTGAAGAAATGAAGTCTTCCCTCTCCTGTCCCCCAAAAGACTGTGACCAGGCCTATTACCAGATTTTAGGATGCCACTTGTTTGCTAAGCATAAGAGTAAAAACGTAACTGAGTATTATGCAAATGAATTTTCTGATCTTTTTAAAGTTTAAATTGCTTTTAAGCTTGCTTTGAATTAATAGAAGAAGAAACAGACTCAGTCGTCACAGATGGTTGTAATTTTACAAATCTCTTGGGAACCAGTGGGAGTTTTGCACAGAGAGGCCATCTAGTTTAGAAACCTGTGTCTGCTGAAGTCTTAGTCCAGTGTAGAAAATCAGTCCCCTTCCTCTTTCACTGCCTTTTTGAGCAAGTTTTATTTTGTGAAGGAAGAGCCAGGCCAGAGAGATCCCAAATGAGGCTATCACTACTATCTGAAATCAAGACTTGTGGCTTTTTTATATTGTATTAACAAGAATATAAATGTTCAGAAAAAAATGATGGGTTTGGAATCATTCTATAATTGGGTAGAGCTTCCCATGAAAGTGACTTTCATTAAAGCTTTTGGTCACTGTTAAACCTGAGAGTTATGGTAAAGTTGCATATTCAGAGTCTTCAAAATGCAGGTGTTTCCTTGTGAGAATCCTAAATTAGATGTTTAACCTGCCTTTCCTTGATATGTGGAATATTCCACTAGGTAGTAGGCAATGCAGAAGTCACTTTTGGTCAATTACAATTAAACCCTTTGAAAATCACTGAGCCAATGGTGTAAAAACACTAGGCACTCAAGATTTGGGGCAGTTTTTAAAAGCTAAATCATAGGAAATCAAACAAGGGAGTCTTTCTTTCTGTTCCTCCACTTGTATCAGAAAGCTTGCTTATTTACTTTAATGTAATTGATAAATGTGCTTGGAGACCTGGGTCCTTAGGTGTTTGCTTTGCTTGTTGATTCAGAGCTTTGATCCTAGTTTTTTGTTTCTGATGATGTTGGCTGATGGAAGATAAATAGGTTTGTTGGCAAATTATTTTTATACATGTTAATTGAGCCAGGCAACACTTTTAGCATGCCAAAATAAAAACTGAGTGTAGACATTCTAGATGAGCTGAATTTTAGAGAGCTGAGCCCGTGCTGCAAGCAAGGATGCAGAAGTGGTCACTAGCCTAACCCAAGTTCTACCCTATGCAATACTTATCAGGACCCTGAGTATGACCTTGGCTTACTGTCCTACCCCACCTATGGGGTCTGCAGTACATTGTGCAGGAATTCCTCAGTTCTCAGAGAAGAGGCAGAGAGAGAGTTTCTCCCTATATTCTTGTTTGATATAGTGCATGGGGATTTTCCATCATCTAATTCTGGAGGAACCATATGGGATGGAAGCCTCTCAATATTTGGAGTCAAGAAGGAATTTTAACTCAAGGTCAGACTGGTCTGGACTGTGGGGGGTTTTGCCTACCTCTGTAGCAGTGGGCATGGCCCTCTACCCAGGACCTTTTGAGCATATAGTGATAATATTTATAGAAGCAGGACATTGACTGCTGTGGTTCTTCTTCTTTACCCCTGTGGTAGGTTAGGGTGTTAGGTCTGTGTTATGTCAGGGTTGAGAGCAGTCTTACATAGAGGTCAGATTATGGTTTGTACAGGATGGTTTGGATAGGGATGATCCTGCCTCAGGCAGGTGGTTGGACTAGACCTCTAGAGGTCCTTTCCAGCCCTACTTCTCTATGACTCTGACTCAGCCAAGCAGTTGTCCACATTGCTGCAAGGGAGATCTAAGAATCAAAATAATACATTGTCCAGCTTGTTATGGTATCTTTTCTTTCTTTTTTGAAAGCAAATATTTAGAAGTGACTTCTAATTCCAGATTTTTTAAATGTAGCTAGTTTAACGTACTTCAGAATTTAAGGTAACATGATTTGTTCTTGATTAATTTTCTTTTCCCAGATAATTTCACTCCAGAAAGTGTTAATGATACTGCCAAAGAAACTTGCTTAAATTGGTTCTTCAAGATCGCTTCCATCAGAGAGCTCATTCCCAGATTGTATCCTTTTCAAATGAGTCTCACTATCCAAGTGTTATATTATTATTCCTGAAGTTTAAAAAGAATTAGTAATATGAGAATGTGATGAAGTTTACCAAAAACTACATGATAAGTATTAATAACTTCAAAATATCTTTTGCTATATCACTATTGTATCTAATGTCTCCTTGTTCCCAATATACCTATTCTCACAATATCCCTGTGAGGTAGGGAAGTACTACTACTATATCCCCCTTTTTTTTTTACAGGTGGATAGTGCAGGCACAGAGAAGTAGAAGGCTAGATTTTTAGGATTTAGGTGTTGTGATACCTTGGGCACCTTGACAATGGACTGGATTATGAGGGTATGGTGGTAGAATGGTTAAGCATCTCTGTGAATCTAGAAGCATGATGTTAATCCTCTTGTCGTGACTCATGCCAAAGATCATCCCCATTTGATCGAACTATAAGTAGGTACCCAGTCATTTTGAGGTGGAGTCAAAGGTTGACCAGTTGGGAAGCTAGCCATGTCACTCGCTTGGCTGTGTGGCTTAACTGTGCTAGCTTGATGAGCCATCTGGGTGGAGGCAGACTTTGAACTTAACTCTGACCTACCAGATTTTGCAGTCCTGAGGGGGAAGTGCCTAAACTCCTTGTAGCTAGATGCCATGGAATGGGCTTCACAAGAGGCAGCACATATAGTAGAAAGCTGCCTCAGCAAGTAGTGGTACTTAATACCACTACCATACATTAATTCCCTTAATGGTGCTTAAGGGAAAGGATGTGTTTAAGTCCCTCCCCTTTCTGGGAACATTAAGAGCATTACTTGTAGCAGCAGAGAGCTACCTGCTTCAAACTGGGGTTGACGTCCCAAACCCTTTTTTACACTTAGGCAACTAAGTGTTCCTTTAAAGGGGCAATGATTGTTTAAGTTAAGTTTACATACCAGAAACTGAGCAAATTGGAAAACAGAATGGAAAAGCTGTAAAAGCCACAAAGCAAGTAGTAAAATCTTAAAGGAGCCATAACACTTGATGGCCAAATTATTTTCAACCAGTGAATATTTAGTATTTATCTTATTTTTGAGGGCATTTTGGAATAATTTCCCCTTAACTGTGCATTCAGCTATGTGGAAGCAGCAATACTGAAATGCAACAAGTTTCTATCAAAAACGTAAGGGTAACATGCAGTTACTAAATACAGAATGCAAATATGTTTGGCAGTATTGATGAGTTGGAGGTATTGGTATGAATCCCAGGAAATAACTTCAAGGCAGAATGCTGCCATAGCTGGTGTCATACTGACTCATTTACTACAGAGCGTTGCCTAATTGAAGTATTAAGCATTGGCAGTGCATTGTGGGGGGGCGGGGAGGAAGAGGGGACACATGCTCCGAGATTTCTGCGCTGACAGCAGGGCATGGAGCTGCAGCCTGGCCAGAGCCAGGGCCCAGCAGCAGTGGGAATGGCAGTGGCATTATGAATTTTGCACCAGTGATGGGATTTGGGGCTGCTGCTGGGCCAGACTCAGTGCCTGGGGCAGCAGGGGTAGCAGTGGTGGTGCAGAGTTGTGCTCCCACACTGTGGCAGCAGCGTGGAGTTGTGCCCCTTGCTGTCGGCACTTACATGTCGCCTGCTGTATTAAGCAATGTGGGGGAAGGACAATTGAACTGAAAGGAAGGCAAAAGTGACAGGAGTACAGGAAGGAGAGAACAACAAAGATGAGATTTAAAGTAAGATGAGGGAGCAAGATGGGAACAATGATCCAGGAAAGCAGCTACTAAAAATCTGGGAAGAAGAGACAAACAGTGCTGAATTCAATGGACAGTGTTCCTTAAAAAAGAAATAAAAAAAAATCAAATGCTTTTGTGTCTAGGAGCCCTTGAATGCCATGACCCAGGATTGTGTAACCCCTAGCCCATGAGCCAGATCTGGTCCCTGGAGCCATGGGGTACCTCCTGGGTTGGGAAATTTGTGGGCGGGGAGCAGGGCAATGAGTATTGCCACCTTTCCCCGACTGCCAAATTCCGAAGCCCTACATAGCTGGATTGGGGCTGGGCCATGCCCCCAACTTCCCTCCCTCCTGTGCCACCAGATTGGAGCAGGACCTGCCTTCTCTTGTGCCCACCTTCCCCCCTCCCTCGCCCCAACACAGCTGGATTGGGCCCCTGCTGTGCTTGCTCTGTGTGCTAGATCAGGGCTCAATGTAGGATGTGCTGTGGGACTGTAATACAAGGAGACCATTGACTTCTATCCCGGGGAAGATCTTAGAAAAGTTTATTAAAGAGGCCATCCTTAATGGACTGGCCGACGTCAACATCTTAAGGGATAGCCAGCACGGGTGTGTTGCGGGTAGGTCTTGCTTGACCAATCTCATTTCCTTCTATGACCAGGTGACCTATCACCTGGACAAGGGAGAAGAGATTGATGTCATATATCTTGACTTAAAAAAAGCCTTCGATCTGGTGTCCCATGATCGCCTCTTGGAGAAACTGGCCAATTGTCGCCTTGGGTCCTCCACGATCCACTGGCTGGAAAATTGGCACCAGGGTTGGACCCAGAGGGTAGTAATTGATGGAAATCACTCATCGTGGTGTCCTGTGACCAGTGGGGTCCCCCAAGGTTCTGTCCTTGGACCCATACTGTTCAACATCTTCATTAATGATGTGGACACTGGAGTCGGAAGCGGACTGGCCAAGTTCGCTGATTACACCAAACTTTGGGGCAAAGAATCCACACCAGAAGACAGGCGGGTGATCCAGGCTGACCTGGACAGGCTCAGCAAGTGGGCGGACGAGAATCTGATGGTGTTCAACGCCGATAAATGCAAGGTTCTCCACCTTGGGGAAAAAAAACCCGCAGCATCCTTATAGGCTCGGCAGTGCTATGTTGGCTAGCACTATGGAAGAAAGAGACTTGGGGGTCATCATTGACCACCAGATGAACATGAGCCTGCAATGAATGATCTGGGGGTTTAATGAATGAAATGATTATGCAGAGGGAATAGCATCAGTTATAAAAGAGACTACCCAAGGGGAGAAAAGGCTACTGAGATAAGTGCTGGTATGAGACAGATTGCATAAAGCATTCTCTTCATGTATTTGAGAAGGAAAGCTTGTACCAAGAGCATCAATGTGCAGGAGGAGACAATGGGACTAGGGGCAGTTGCCCCAGGTTAAAATCGTGCTGTGAAAATGAGGTTGAATGGTCACAAACTACTTCAAGATCGTTTCAGGCTGGACATAAGGAAGAATTTCTTTACTGTCCGAGCCCCCAAGGTCTGGAACAGCCTGCCACCGGAGGTGGTTCAAGCGCCTTCATTGAACACCTTCAAGATGAAACTGGATGCTTATCTTGCTGGGATCCTATGACCCGAGCTGACTTCCTGCCCTTTGGGCAGGGGGCTGGACTCGATGATCTTCCGAGGTCCCTTCCAGCCCTAATGTCTATGAAAATTCAGAGGCTTCACACCTCTTCTATGCAACAATTTTGGTGTCACTTTTTCCTCAACCACAGAATGGGGTTTGGGAGTGAAGTGGGGTGAGTGGATCTGTGACTAGGAGACTCCCTAGTGGCTGCTGCTCCTCTTGGGGAAGGAAGCTATGTCAGCCTCTAGGGCTGCTACTTTCTTGGGACTGCATTGCAAGCACACTATAGCTTTGTTGCCTCTCCAGTCTAGAGGGGAGCATTCATTCTTTTTCTTAGTCCTCACACAAGTCCCCAGAGTACAACTTGGCTACTTGGCCTACTCCGGGGAAACACCATGCATCTGGGTCTAAGAAGGCAGTTTTCCTTAAGCAGTCCAAAACACAGTTTTCCTGGGGATAACTGCTCTTCTGGTGTGGTTTAGTACCCGCCGAGGTGTTGGGGCTTAAAGCCCACTTTTTGGAAATGGGAGGCTCCTCCATAGCTTGCTTCTGCAGTCATATGGCTGAGGGCAGGCGAAACTTGGGGGCCTTCGGGCTTGGGCCTGCACATAGGATGCCTGCCAAAAGACTTTGGAAGTATCTGAAGCCCCTGGCAGGGGTGGAGGATGTTTGCCGGTTGTAGGGCCACTTATGGTTCTGGACTGACTCGTGGATTTGGACTTGATTTGGCTTGGAACATGAAACATTTCTTTAAAAACAAAAAAAACGAAAAAGAACTCCTACAGGTATGTGGTATAATTCCTGCCCAAGATGTGATGTGCAATACATGTTGCATTTTACTTCTAAATGAAATTTTGCCCTAATACCTTTTCCCTCAGGAGTTTTCTATAATTCATGCTCTGATGTAAATGCATAATGTAGTCTTTAAAGTTATCAGTGGGTGGTATGATACTGTGATCAGTTCTTAAATCTCAATTTTAATTTGTAAAAACAAATCTTAACAGGGGAATTTCAGAGTGTCTCCCACGGTTGACATCTATGATTAGAGGAATCGGAGATCCACTGGTTGCTGTCTGTGCAAGAGCATACCTGTGCAGGGTAGGCTACTATTTCACATTATTTGAAATGAATTAATGTTGCTGGCCAGTTGCTTACTGCTGCAGTCCAGCCTGCCAATAAAGGAAGATTTAATTAGCTGCAGTTTTTCTCTGAACTTCCTTCCTTCTGCTGGCATATTAAAAGCATGTTAATGTTTCCATTGCAATCATAATATTCTCAAACCTTCTGCATAAGTGTATATAATAATCATAGTAATTTAAAAACTAATTTTCTAAGCTTGTCCTACCACTTCTCTCTCCTGGGGAAGGGTAATAAAACTGGGGACTAGGTCTTAGAGAATACGTGTAAGTATGTGGTGCTACATGCTGCTCTCTGATTACTATGCATTGCTTTTCAAGAGATGACGTCCAAGCTTTCCTTCCCTTTCAATTCACTGTTGCCTTGCTCTTGCAGCTAGAGCATCTGCTTTTGGAAAATGGCTTTATGATCTTCTGATAAAAAGGAGTTATTTGGCATGGTGTATTTAAAATAAAATGTCTTAATTTACCACCACTTTGTATGATTATGGTTTAACAGCCTGCACTACCATTTATGACAAGCACTTCAAAATCTCACTAACACCTCTGCCAAAATAAACTTGTACAGGAAATGGACTTCTGGTGAATTTAAGGTGCATGAATGTGTTCATATGGGAAAAAATATTTGCATGCCAGGTCTTGAGAGTGGATGGTAAAAGGGTCTGTCGGTCTGAGCATGTCATATCTGGTCTCTGTTGGAGATCTTATCACATGCTATACTGTTTTTAGTCAGAATGCCTTAGTCACTTATGCTGTATTTTGCAGGATTGTCATGAAAACCTTGGTTCAATGAAACTCAGTTGAATAAACTAACAGATATTTATGAATGGATTCACCTTGTCTCTTGCAACATACTGTAGAGCTGATCTGTAGAAATAGAGCTGTTTAGACTGATCAGCTTGGATGGTCGCTTCCAGTATTTATTGGTAGGGACCTATGTAACTTGCAGGGGTTGGTTGCCCCCCACACCTGATTTTGTGGTCCAAGCATGGTGCTGGTCACTGTTTTCAGGGCAGAGTGCGGAGAGCCCCCTCCCCACAACACCCCCCCTGATTGCAAGGGACCCTGGGAGTCCTTCCCCTCCCCAGAGATTGACATATGGCTATCTGTCAATTTCTGGGGAGTGGTGGGACTTCTGGGGCCCATTGGCCAATTAGAGGTGTATGGGGAGATTTTTGCCCTGCTGCAAACATCTCCTCCTCCTGTGCTGTGCTTCAGGATGCCAGAGCTTCCCGCCTCTGTTTTCAGTGTGCCCCCTCTCCCCTGCTTGCTTGCCATTTTCCAGTTTTTTTGCAGTCTGTTTTTTTGTTTTTTTTTTTGCAGGAACTGCGCTTTTTCATGTGGGATGTACAAATTATATGATAAATAAGTCCTAGTGTGGATACAAATGATCTGTAAAGCTGCAGCAGAGATAACTATGGGTATTGTTGCTGCTAAACCAATTTGTAGAGCCAACTCTTTCTGTAGGGGGAAGTCATAGGGCAGAGTGATATTTCTCTCTTGCTTGCAAAAGAGATTCAGAAGATTCAAGAGATTCATGATTCAAAAGTTCATCTGATTCAGAAACACAGTATTGAAGGTTGGTAGGAGATGATTCATTTGGGGAGGTGGTGGATTCAGGTACCCAGCATCTTCCAGGATCAGGCCTTGGAGTGAGAAATGGTCCTGGGTTGTTAAGAAGCTGTTATTTTTAAAAAGCCCCACACCTCTAATTGCTCTGTCAGGGAGTGCTTTGCCACTTTCATTCTGCTCATCCATAAACTTTTATAATAATGATAATAATTTTTTAATTTATATATAATTATTATCCTTTTAAACCCCCCCAAAAACTAAACTTCTTTTAAAGATTCCTTTAAATATTGCAAAATCTAGCAATCAAATTAGAAAAGGCTCATCTTAGAGTTGTCTTTGCAACTTTAGTTAATTCCCATAGGTCATGTGAACATACGTTGTGGTCACCTTTTTATTATGTGAACATATGCTATTTTTCTACGACTCCTGTCTTATTCAGTGCACAGCATGGATATACAAGGTGAGAGGCAACTTTAAGTATGAATGCTCCTAATTTTTGAGTGCTTCATGTGTAAAAAAAAAAAAAAAAAAAAAAAAAAAAAAAAAAAAAAAAAAAAAAAAAAATTTTTTTAAAAAAATTTTGAACATGGCCTGCTGACCACAAACACTTCAGGACAATTTTATACTTAATGCAGTTACAGCTAACACAGGCCAGAGCCATCATGTCACTTATTAGTGAGGCAGAAATAGGCACAGACAAAACCTGTTGTTCAGGTTTCTTTATCTTGGTAATATGTGTATCACTACTGGTGAATAATTCTCTGTTTGCATGAATGTAGGACAATAGTAAGCGAGGAAGAAGATAAAATGTTTCTTTCTTTTACCATAGGTTGGGATGGAAGTGGCTCCTCATCTCAAAGAAAGTCTCAACAAAAATTTTTTTGACTTCCTTCTAACATTTAAACAAGTAAGCAAATACATTTGCATTGGCTGAGTGAAAATAATGTGTTCCTTGAGCAGTCTATGATGAAAATACTGTATTGTTCTGACTGTGAGTCTACCTTTTTTTTTTTTTCTAAAGAAACACAAAAACTGCCCTCTTCTTAAACAAGGGTTGGCTTATAGTTTGGTCCCTAGTAGTCGTGACTTCTGTACTTGCAGTATTTTTGTTCATGCAATGATGAACATTCCAAGCTAGAATTTTTTTCATTGCATTATTTTACCATTCTCTAGTTCATATAACACTAAGCTACAGTATTTAATTTTATTGTGGAATGCTGCATATACTGTGATAAATTAACTACTGTAGGTGGCATATATACAGGTTTTAATAGTGTCCACTGCAATTTTTGTGTCAAACTCAGGAAATTATGCAGAATAATTGTTGAGCTGCTGAGCATATTGTGTAATTGAGTTAACCTGATCTCATGAAGCTTTCAGTGAACCTATGATTTGAAGTGCTGTTTCCAGTTTCACAGCTCTAGTCAGACACTTTTCCTTGCCCATGGCAGCTATTTCATCTGTTACTTTTTATTTTAACAGATACATGGAGATACAGTTCAGAATCAGCTGGTAGTCCAGTGTGTGGAGATTCCATTGTATTTGACTCTCTATTCTCCAGCTATTGATTGGATTTTACAGTGTATTGCATACCGTGCTCCAGAGGTAATTGATTATTTTTTCCATGGTAATATTTGATGTTTAACTATAAAAGGAAAATATAAAGTATGCGTTTGACGGTGTGCGGTATTTTAAAGCTATAGTAGCCTAGTAGAAAAAATGAACGTAGGACTCTGCTGCATAGCACAAGAGTTAGAACTTTGTATTCAAACTTCAAATGAAAAATTCCCAGTGTATTCAATAATGTGGAATACTTAAAGTGTACAAGAGCAGGCATCTTTATAGGGCTATATGTGTGGTGCATTACAAACCTGTGTAAGACCTGTTCAGTACTCTAAACTACTCGTGTTTGAAGTAAGCATTAATACTGTTTGGTGGAAGTGCTAGAAAAGACAACTAAGTTTAATATAAAATAAGTAAGTGTAAAATCAGAACCAGCATGTGTGTGGCATGAATTACTTTTTATCATATTTAGAACTAAGAATTGAGTAGAATTCTTAGGCAAAGTGGAAGAGTGAACGTAAGATTAAACAAGAGGTTAAAATACTTGTATCACCTTGAATATGCCATGCAGCTAATGAGAACGTTAATGTTTATAATAAGAATCTTGGTTTTATGTTTTTATATCATAGTTCATATAAAATCTATTATATAAAATACAAATTGTAAAGAGAAAAGAATATAAAGGACTATGATATTTTTGTCCTGAATATTAAATTGCTGTGTATGGTTATCTATCTTTTCTCTCATGTTTGATATTTTAGTAGAAATCTTGTATAATAGATGGCTTGAGGAGAAATTAAAGAAATAGACTTCTGAAAACAGGGCCAGTGCCAGCTAGAGTCCACCTAAGATGCCCCAGACGGCAAGAGTTTTGAATTACGTATGTTGCAAAATCAGCTGCCCAAATAATCTTGAGGAAATTAAGCATTTATTATGTTTTGAGCATTGGCTATGGGAAATCTCTTGTTCTGATTTTTGGCTGGATACTTTTGAAAGAGAAGAAATTCTCATACACATGTATCAAGATGCTTGTGAAGGATGTTTTATCATTGTTACAGGATGTGGGCAGCTGGCAGAAAGGTATCTTTTGCCAAAATAATTACTTTTAAAATTATTTTAAAGATGTAAAATGGGTAGTAGACCTCTGGAAGTAAAAATATTACACACAATGGAAATCAAAATGTGCACCAGAGAAGGCAATCCAGCAGCGTCATCTGAACAGCAGTACAAATAGTTATTTTCCAAGGTGAATTGTACAAGATTTGTGAATGCCAAATAAAATATTGAATCACTTCCAAGGCAAACACAATCTACAGAACTCTGAGGAAAGTACTAATAAATGTAGAGACTGGTGTAAAGAAAGACTTGGAAGAATATTGTCCTGTCACTGACAAGTTCTGGGAAATAGAAATCAAGGGGTAATGCCTGTATGAAAAAAGTGCTTACAAGCCTAATATTCATATGAGTAGTAGCAGCAGAAAGCAGTCCTTTTTAAATACTTATTTATAGATTGTCTTGAAATAATGAAAATACTTAAAGTTGAAACTTCAGCAACTCTAGAATTTATGTTTGACCGATTTTGTGCAGAACTCACGTAGCACAACCACGCACCCTGGGATTAATCTAGAGCCTTGTGATTCTACATTGGGACCCTGTGATTCTGTTCTTTACACTACTTTATCAACTTAGCAGTGCAGATTGCACCTTTTTCTTTCTGAACTTCATCAACATAATGTTTTTAATTATCCTAAAATAGTCTGAAACAGACATTAATTTCTAAAGAGACATTACAACACTTCAGCATTAGATATAGAAATGAAGGAAGTCCAATCATGTGGAGTACTTAAATCCTCTGTGATTTGCATCTTTGCTTGCCACTAAGTTAAAAATATCTTGTTAAAATCAAACCTTACTTATACAGAAAGATTACAGTAAACCCTAACTAATTTGGCTATACATTTTTAAGCTCTCATGTACAGGAAAAATAATTTATCCAATCCACATATTAAAGATTAAATGAAAACAGTTGAATACACAGTCAGCATTGTTCCTCTTTCTTACTAGGGTCATTTGATCTTGCTATCTCGATCCTTTGAGTCCATTCAGTTTCTTCTCTCGTACTGATATGAACTAGTGAGGATAATGTAGGATTTGTGATTACTTATCATAGTTGTCAAGCTACTCTAGGCTTTAGTCACTGTGTCTGCATTCTGCAGTAAAGAGCTAGTGATTTTTCTCCTTTCTTGCCAGAGGTAATTGACCTGGTCCTTTCTCAGAAAGATAACCTTTTGCAGACATGAATAAAGTCCTGGAAACTTGACTTGTATAACATAGTGTTTTAGATTAAGGTGTCATTGTGCCTATTCACTATGTTTGTTTATGTTGCACTGCATATGATTTTTCTTTTGAGTAAATGTAGAATTTAATAAGATTTGTGGAATGTGTTGGCTAGGTCAGTGGTTGGCAACCTTATCTGGTGGCAGGTGGAATGGCCCTGCTCAGCTCTAAGGTGGGCTGGCACTAGGATTTGGCTACTACCACTTTTCTACCCCCCTGCTTTTTCCTGTTGCTTGGCTCTGGCCTGTCATGGGAAAGCTTACTGACACCTGGCTGCAGAGCTGTGTGGTGTGGTGCAGGCAAAGCTCCATTTAGGGGTGGGATCCAGTGGTTCTGCAGACCATATGTTGCCAATCCCTGGGTTAGGAAATTAAATTCTGTTCCAGTGAATTTTGATGGGGCTTCTAAAAGCTGCTAAAAATGTTTTGGGGTGGTCCAGACTTTTTTCCCTGCTCTTTAACTTTTAACAAAATAACTTCTATAGGGACTGCTTACTGAGATGATGGAAAGATGCAAGAAACTGGGGAATAAGTAAGTATCATGTAATCTTGAGACAAATTAGAAATCAAATCTCTGTTATCCTTGAATTCCAGTTATTTGATATAAGATCTTTTCACGTGAAAAATTAAATAATATCAGCTAACAAAACTAAGGCATAACATCTGTGCTTATAAAAGTTCCGTTCCCGCCTCCCCAGTGGGGAAGTCCAATGTATCCATTGGTTTGGCTGAGGAGCAAATGTTAAATTCATTAACTGAACTGTCATATGAACTAGAGTTTAGCTAGGATTAGAACTTGTGGTATTCTGGATTCCCAGTCATTTCCTCTGGCTGCTATTCATATTTCAATTTTTTTTCTGCTGCCATCTTACTCTCTGTGACTGGCTACTACATGTGTATTTGAAAGGAAATTGCAAAGCATATGGCTTTGCTGAAAGATAGTAGTATTTGTGTCCATTTAAGGCTAAGAACTATTTTCCAAGTTTAGTTCAGGAAGCATATGCCTTCACTCCTTCTTAACTAATTTTCTTCATTCAGATAGGGCTTGAGTTTAAAATAATTTTCAAATACCATTTATCCCATGTCCAGCCTAACCATGTTAATTCAGAAAGGCTGTGCATAAGTCTTGAACATACTTCCTGACTTATGGGATTGATACTTTTGGTATGGATTCAGTTTATGAATATAAGTGGGCAGAAGTTCTATGAACAGTTTTCAAAAGCAATCTTATTTTGCTTAAATGATCAAAAACTTGTTACCCACTTTATTCAATCACATGACTGATATTGCAATAGTTGTCTTTTTGCTTAAGGAGTCAGGAAGTGCAATTAAAATTGGAAGTGGGAACACTCTTATGCTTTTTGTTTAAGGATGGAGCAAAAAATATCCTTAGACTCCACTGTTCCAACTTTGGTATATGGATTGTGGTCCATTCTGCAGTTTGCTTAATTTACTTTTTTAGCATTTTGGGTGGTGAAAGCAGACTGCTTTATCTGGGCACAACTGTCTTGTTGCTTTGAAGCAGTGCAAACTTTGCAATGTAGCACCAAGAGAACTGAGAAATTTCCCTGTCTGCATTTAATGGAGTGTTAACTTCAGCATCTATTTTTGACCTTTTAAAACCTTACATCATTAAGTTAGTTGTTGGGAAATTGAATAACCTAGCTCTGACAATCATTTTGTAGGTTAGTATCATTAAAGGCAAAGTTCTTCCCTTTGCATACTCAGGATTTTCATTAAATAATACAGATTTATATGGTGATTTTCATTTCCGTATAAAGAATCCCAGTGCATTTGGCAAACTGGATGTGCAGCATCACTGGGGTGAATGGAAGAAGACCTGTGCAGGCTGCTGTGCATATTAACTGGTAGATTAGAAATGTTTGTCCAAGGATAAGAGAAAATTCCTGTTAAGTGCTGTGAGATGACTAAAGTTCAGTCAGAAGAGACTGGACACTAGGTTTTTAAAATGTTCTGTAAAAACTCAGACAGCTACCTACACTATATTGACTTGATTTCAGAGGGATGAATGTCTGAATAGTCTTGCTGGGGATAAATCAACATGGAAGCTGGACACCTGCATGTCAACAGAATTTGTCTTTGGGTATTTGCTTTTTAAAATGTCGTACCAGGCACATGCATCCCACCTCCTCTCTCTTGCTGTCTGTGTACAATACATTAGCTTGACTATTCAGTAGATAAATCGGATAATATGGAAATACAAATAATATAAATGGTTGTTTTTATTTTGTGGGCTTAATCTTTGAATCTTGCTTAATATTGCTTTGGGTCATTTCTGTTCCAATAATTTCACTCCTAGAAATCAGACTTTACAACAATAATTTTTTTTGGCTAATGCAAGAAATCTTAGAAGCTTTTGTCAGACCAACTGGTATTTTCAACAACAAGGACTGTAGACAGGAAAAGAAGAGAAAAATTCAGCAAATATAAAAAAGACTGCTTTGATATGACTACATGACTTCAGCTTGCCTTCAATTTAGTGAATGAGGTACCAGTATTAAAAAAGAAATTTGTTCTCAAGTAGTGAAAATATGGAAGAAATTTGACCCTTATGGAAGAATTGTGATGTATAATATGATTTAAGCACAGTGAAATGGTGCTTTCCTAGAGGTAAAGCAAAGGAAGTACTATAGTAACTGGGATTTCCATCATATTCTATAGCTTAGCGGAGCTTTGCCACACTTACTGTCGTCTTGTCTTGCCAGTGCATTGTAGTGCAACATGAGAGTTTTTTCTTTGTGTTGTTAGCCCTTGTTTTCTGAAGTAGAACCTGAATGGTAGTTCATCTTTTGAAGTTCAGATTAATGTAAACTAGAGAATGGAGAGCAGCTCAATTTATGTTGAGCTGAGCTGATTTGCATCATATTCCTTGTAGTGCCTTACTTCTGAATTCAGTGATGTCAGCATTCAGAGCTGAGTTTATTGCTGCAAGGTCTATGGATTTTATTGCCATGATTAAGGAGTGTGATGAATCTGGATTCCCCAAGGTAAGTTCTTTTTGTAATTTACAGCACTGCTTATTCATTATCTTGCCAAGAGCTTCATGCATTTAGCTCATTGTCTAAATGGTACACGTGGGATTAAAAAATAGGTATTCCATACATGGAAGTAACTATTATATAGGTTAGATAAGGTGATTTAAAATCTAGAACACAAATAATGGGTGTTAGTGTGAGAGTATACAAGAATTTCTCTTGTGCCAGAGCATGAACCAGAAAGGTCTATTGCCATTCATTCATGGGAAGTCCTCTTAATAGTTGGCCATTCCAATGCTGGGAAGAAGTTCTAGGATTAACTTATTTGGTTTCTTTCACAAAGGCTATATTTCTACTCCTCCCAACTTTGTTTTCTATTCGATATAGGGATTTAGTCTTTCCCCATTCAAACCAATGGGAGCTTTGCAAGAGCAGGAGCAGAACACCTAGAAATTACTTTTTAGACATCTGAAAAATATGCATGTATTAAAATGGAGAATAAAAAACTGTGTGTTTATTTCAGGGTTATGTATTGAGATGCATTGGTAGTTAATTTCATGGCTGATAGTTCTTCAGCAAAAGTGTATAATAGCTCAGACTTTGAGCAAGGGATTCATTCAATTTCATATACCCAGCTTCTATAATTTTGGAACAATAATACTGAAAGAGTTACACTTTCCAGTGAAAAATCTATTGGTTATATGATAGGATGGTCTGATCTCTTTTTCAGCACCTTCTCTTCCGCTCCCTGGGGCTAAACTTGGCATTAGCTGATCCTCCTGAAAGTGATCACCTTCAAATATTAAATGAAGCCTGGAAAGTTATCACAAAATTAAAGAACCCACAGGTAGGTCATTGATAGGAAATGTGTTGCCTACCTTAAATGCTGGGAGCCAGTTGTTTTAAAATGGATTAAAAACAATCACAAAATTACAGATGTGTTTAGAATAGATGGACAATAAATGTGACATTGCCTATTTTACTATTCCTAGATACTTGGTAGTTGCCCAGGCAGTGTGTACTGGTTGCTTCTCATGAACCACAGGTTACCCCAGTTCTACAATGTTGTAGCAGTGCAACTGGACATCTTGTCTTACAAAGGCAACATTTCAGAAAAACTGTCCAAGTAATTACTTGAGTGCATACATTGCTAGAAAAGAAATAGAGATTGTACAACCTGATAGAGCTTTTAAAGGTGATATATTCTATTGACCATAACATAAATATTTATATTTTTTCTAGGATTATATTAACTGCGCTGAAGTGTGGGTGGAGTACACCTGCAGACACTTTACAGTATGTGAGAATTACTTTGAGTTTATCGTTTTAGCTGTGTAGGCACTAAGTGACTGTATAGCAGTTTACAGTGGGAAAACCAGTGCTCATAACAAACAATAGACTTCTTTTTCCTATTTAGTATCTGCTTGTAAGACTTCAATGTGTGATAACGTTGAGGGGTATGATATGTTCTTGTGGGATCATATTTTTTTTTTTAGTAAGAAAGTTGAATCAATACAAAATGATGGCTGCATTGGGAGACCTCTTAATTGGTCACATATGTATTTCTCACCTGTATATGGAGCATGAGGGGAGAACATACAGACCAAATTATAGCTGAAGTCCTACCAGCACTTACTATGAGTTATCTGGCTTCCACTGTAGCTCTGTAAAGTATTAATTCTTTTGTAAAGGAGAACCTTGGTTGACATTAGCACAGTGCTCTAGTAACGTAAAAGATGAACCAGTTTCTATGCTGTGCTTGTGACATCTTAATTTGTACTACACAGAAGCGTGAGGTCAATACTGTTCTGGCAGATGTTATCAAACATATGACTCCGGATCGTGCTTTTGAAGAGGCTTACCCACAGGTAAGAGACTTTCTTTTGTTTTAGCAACTCTGTGAGAGCTAATTTTTTTTCAGAAAAAAATCATGATGTGTGCTAAAAATTGCTGTTGTCTCCTGCAACATAATGATTATATTTTAAATTGTCTCCTTATAACTCGGGAAGCATTAGGACAACGTAATGCTATGGAACAGTGCTCTAGTCTAGATTCCTGCACGCACACGCTCACACAGTACACATTAATTAGAGAGAAAAAATTAAGTTGAGTGACTTGCAGATATACAGCAATGTAATGATCATGTACTGTATTTTTACATTTAACTTGTAATGAAATTACTTGCATTTTCCCCTTTTTCCCCAGCTGCAGTCAATTATTCAGAAAGTCATTACTTATTTCCATGACTTTTCCATACTTTTCTCAATGGTAAGTTGCTTTTTAAGTTTATGTTCTTTCTGGAACTGCTTGTCTTTAGGAATGTTGTGCATTTTCTCTAAGGAAACGTAACCTGATTTGATTATCTAAATCAGCTGGAAACCTGCGTGGTGAGAAGAGTTTTTTTTTGTCAAGTATAAAACTGTTAAAATACCCAAGGAAGTGTTAACTGATTACTTCTCAAAATCCATTATTTTAATTACAATATTTCACACTTTCTTCTTATTAGGTTATAGGGCTCTGTAATATTTTTGTTTTTAATGGCAGCAGAAGAAGCTCAAATTAATTAATACAGTCTATTTGTGGGCTGTGCTGAGATAACTCCTGATACTGCTTCCTTTCTGTGTTTAACATATATTTTACTGTGTCAAAAGAAAGAACTTAGGGTACTATTTGAGGGGCTAAGGGAAAGTGAAGAGGCCAATCATTTTGTGGTAAAGACAGAATAAAGTTGCCATCCTGTTTTTTATATTTCTGTAGCCTGAATAAAAGGAAGCATTTCAAGAGGCTCATTGATTTAAGAATTGTTTAAGCTCCTAAATCACTTAAGCACTTTTGACAATTTTACCCTCAGTGTATTTTCAAGATAGTATATAAGCATTTAGTTCTCTGGCTACCTCAGCAGTCTAAATTCAGTACCTAAGGGACATTTAACTATTCTAAAGCTCCAGCATCGGCAAAATTTAAAATGGTGGCTGGCATTCCTCCAGTCCCTTGCAGAAGAATAATAATTCCTATTTCTAATACTCTAAGGCTTGCTTTCACGGTCCTCAGACTTTTCAGTAGAAATCATAACTGTATCTGATCTGCCTTCATCATATTCTTGTGTTTAAAAATATTTTTCTATATTTGGCTAAATGCATTCTAAATGTTGCATGTTATACCATAGTTCCTCAGTCAATACTCTTCTTATTTGCCTCTATTTATACTACCATTTAATTATCTCATATTATTTAGTCATATTCTTATAGCTGTGGTATCTTTAAACTTCCCTATTAGGGATTATTGTAGTGTTAGAGTGGTGCTGTAGCTGGGATGACAAGAATTATGCAAGGCAAGGTTTCTTAGGGTGATATCTTTTATTGGACCTACTGCATAGTTGAGATCATCTAGCTTTTGAATGCAAAACATTGTTCATTAGGGCTGAGGAGTGAATGCTAGCAAAGCATAATAAAAACCAGCACAGCACCACACTGGATAGTTAGAAGAGTGGGGAGAGAAATTCCCAGGGGTATCAGACAAACAATTAGCAGAGGAAAATAAGCTGATTACTGGAAGATCAAGGCCTATCAAAAGGGAGGAGGGTCATTCTTACCTTTCATGTGTGGGACAAATTCAGAATCAGTTAGATTTTTGGTTTTATTGCACATTATATCAGTGGTTAAGTCCTTGGTTCTTAGTGTTCGGCCTACTTTTTTTTTTTTGTTCCCAAGCTTGTCTTTTAAAGGTGTTAGGTAGGTTTCCCTTGGACAAAAGGATAATGAGGTCAAACACTAAAACATTAATGCTTCTTGCATATTAAGGATTAGGAAAGATATTTTTCAGCACAGACCAAAATCTTTTATATGGAAAATGTTTCAATTGACTTGCTTCATTTTTATTTGGATTTTTAGGAGAAATTCTTACCATTTTTGGATATGTTCCAGAAGGAGTGTGTGAGAGTGGAGGTTTGCAAGTGCATTATGGAAGCTTTTATTAAGTAAGTGGAAAATATTCTGATTAAGTGAGCTCTAGAGGATCTGGGCAATCTATTGAAAGATTGTTTTATAAGATGTATCGAATCAGTGTGGAGTCCACTTAGCATCTAAAAGGTGCCCAGACTAAAAAGAAAATGTAAACATATTTGTGGTCAGTGTTGATCGATTGCTTATTAACTGTTTACAATGACTGTCAGGATTAGAGTAGTCTTTATTCCATCCTAGATGGGTTGTTGTTAGGGCTTTCTTCAATTTCCAGTGCTACAGCTAGTTTATATAACAAAATGCTGTGTTTTCCTGTTCAGTCCTGTAACACTAACAATGATCTTAACATATGAATGAGAAAAGGAAACAAAGATGCACATTTGTTACAAGCACATTTGTCTATTATAAAGGCAGAAATGGAACGGAAAGTGAAATTGGAAGATGAGATTTAATTTTCAGACGTCAATTATTTTAAAAGAATCCTTTTCGTTTGTCGTACTCAAGAGATTCTTGAAACTGTATTTTTATTCTCACATCCTTCATTGGGATATTCAGATTTCAAATAGAAATATTATGGGATGATAACTCAGTGATGAAAAATTGATGAGAAGTGATAACTAGAGCAAGTTTTATGTAAGAATGTTCATTAGCCTGTAACAAATACCAAATTGTTGTTTCCTGTTTAGACACTTAGAAAACATTTTAAGAATAAGAGAGATTCAATTTCTGCCTTTTCGTTTATATTGGGTTACATCAATTGTTTATGTAAAAATACTGTACGTCAGAGATTTCATAATTGGTGGAGTGTGGCTTAATATTTTTTTTCTGCTACTAGTTTAAAATTTATTAAAATCTTAGTCCAGGGTTACGAGTAGAAGCCTACAATGTTTGACTCTGAAGAAAAGGAATTCCCCTCACCCCCTCTAATTCCTCCCCAAAGCCCAACTAAGAACTGGTGTTAGAAGTTCAAATTCTTTTGTCTTCTAGATGAACTATTTATAGAATTAAATATTAGCCGTCTCTGACTGACTTCTTTCATCCCCTCCCCTGTGCATCCATATGTTGCGCTGGTAACCATTTGAGTCGTGTGACGGCAAGGATCACACTTATTAATGATGTTTCCAGGGTTACCTCTGCTTGTGACAGAGCTGGGAATCTGTACTAAACACTTCCTTGTTTATTCTGTTGATTTAAGCAGATCATTCCTGCGCTGCACTACTGGCCATTCTTTACTCAGTAAAAAAGTTTGCTGCTTAGTAATGCCTCATAATCAAAGAATTTTTAAATGCATATAAAATGATAGGCAGACAAGGTTCCTTGGGTGAATTTGATATCTTTTATTAGACCAACCCAAATAGTTGGAGAATAGTTAAGCAAGCTTTCGAGTTCAAAAACTCTGTCAGGCTAAGGAAGTTTCAGCAGTTGGTGTCCTTAGCCTGATGAAGGGTTTTTGAAAGCTTGCTTAATAACTATTCTCCAACTATTTGGGTTGGTCTAATAAAAGATATCAAATTCACCCAAGGAACCTTGTCTGCCTATGTCCTTAGACCAACACGGCTACAACCTACACCCCTATAAAATGATAGAACACAAGCACTCATTTAGTGTAGTTTTATAGCAAATAACCCATATCCAGTATAAAGAACTAAGAGCTCACTGCCATGCTAATATCTCTGACTTAGGGACTCTTTGGCTGTGTCACTAGGCCAGGTGTGAAATCTCTGCCTTAACTAAAGCTCTTGCTGCTAAAGTGAGTTGAAATAGGGTTACCATACGTCCGGGTTTTCCTGGACGTGTCCTTTTTTTGGATCTTCCCATCTCTGCCCAGGCGTTTTTTTTTAAATATCAACAAATATCTGGGATTTTGCTCTACCTATGTTTAGCATTTAAGTCTTTCCCAGCACTTTCTGGCTTGCCCTAGCTAGGAGATGCTTGGTGCTGGGGGAAGTAGGGAAGGACGATTGGAGGCAGGGCATGCATGGTCCTGGGACTGCAGCAGGGTGGGAGAGGTGACTGCCTCTCCTATGAGGAAAGGGGGCGGGGGCCTTTGGTGGCAGTGGCTGGGCTGGTGGCACCGAGACCAGTGCCTGTGCCCGCAGGGACAGGGCAGCCAGGAGAGGTTGGGGGGAGCAGGGAGCTGCAGGTTAAGAGTGAGGGGCACTGGCGGGGCTGTGGGTCAGGGCTGAGGGAGCTGTGGCTTGGGAGTAAGGGGCATCAGAGGGGGCAGGGGACTGTGGGTCAAGAGCATGCAGCACAGGCAGTGCCGGGGGGCTGTGGGCCAGAAATAAGGGGTATCAACAGGGCTGGGGGGGCTGTGGCTTAGGAGTGAGTGGAAGGGGTAGGGCATGGGCCCCCCAATCATATTACCACCCCCCTCCTTGACAGGTGTCCTCTTTTTTGAAACTGGAAATATGGTAACCCTGATGTTTTGTTGTTGTTTCCTAGCATATACAGGGGATTAATAGTGCTTCTTTGGATCATTGTGAGATAGGGTAATAAAGGGGGGTCTCTACTGAAGGAATTTAGGGCATTTTTTCTTGAGGACACTTTGCTACAGGCTTATACTGTGCTCTGTTTGAATTGTCAGTGAAGTCAAGCCCTGGGAAAGAGATGAATTTTAAAAGAATCAAAGGTACTTGCCCTACAAGGAGAGTAGAGTGTAACTTTGGTCCCTTATTTGCATAGGCACATAGGACTGGAAGGGGTCTTCTGGGCCACCAAGTCCAGTCCCCTGCACTTGCAGGCAGTCATTTAACCTAATGAATCTTCAGCAGTGCCACTGCAAACTGTTACTCACAACTGAAGGGCACAGTACCTGAAACACCTGGGTGAGGCAGGGAGACAAGGGGAACTGCCATTGCCGTGCCACTCAAGCTTTGAGGAAGTTGTTGGTTAACCTTTGTTCAAGACCCTACGTCAGTGGGTTTTCAACCTGTGGTCTGCAGACCCCTAGGGGTCTGCAAGCTGTCTGAGGGGTCCACGGAAGATGACCATGGTCAAAATATGTGAATACTGACACTTACCATTCAGAAGGGTCCATTTAAAATTTGTTAGGGTTCTGCAAATGAAAAAAGTTTGAAAGCTTGAGTTATGAGATTCCTTCAATACTGCAGGTGCTACCTTCATACCCTTGCAAACACACAACTCCATGGGCACACTAACTGGCATGACAGAACTCCCTGTCCTATTGCACCATGCCTTCCACAGACTTATCCAGTTCAGTCTTAATGAGATTGCCACATCATTTTGTTTAGCAGACCATTCCAAAACGTCATACTTTTGATAGTTAGAAATCTTTAATTTCCAATCTAAATGGATCTATAGCCATTTGATCTTGTCTTAAAAGCTTTTCTCCTTTCCTAATATTCACTCCCTAAAAATAGAGTGATCATATCTCCTCTCAATCTCCATTTTGCTAAATTAAGCCAAGCTCTTTTAATCTTCTTTCATAAAAGAAGGGTTTCCATTCCCTTAACCAGTTTAGGCGGAAAGCAAGGCAGGGTAGTACCTTAGAGACTAATTGGTTCAGAGAGGTATTAGCTTTTGTAGGCAACAGCTTACTTCATCACATGCTGTGAATGGACTTAACCATCTTTAGTGGCCTTGTTTTGGCTGTTGCAGTTTAATTTAATCATATTTTGAACACTGGTGACCAGAACTGCACACAGCATTTTAAATGGGGGTTTACAAATGCTTGGTACAAAGTATATGTCCCACTAATGCACGTAGTTTCTAAGGACTTTTCTGAAAGTTTAATTACAGTGAAAATTGCTGACATTTTAAGTCCATACGAAACAGTTTTTTCTTATCAGAGTTAGAAGCCTCCACCCTCTTCCTCTTTTAAACTTCCATGTAACCTCATAACCCTTCTGTGGCCCTTGGCAATTGATTGAGTTGTGCTGATCCATCCTATCCTCCCCTTCTGAAATTCACAAGGGAGCAATTTCTTTCAAAATATCTGCTGAAAATGACTTTGAAGATGCCACCCAGTAACATTTCTTATTGCCATGGTAACAAATTTATTTTTTGGAAGTGATATAATGACACTGGTATTAATCTGTGGCATGATTAACACATCAAGGTGATGCAGTCCCAGAGCCATATGTTTGCCTTCTTAAAGGTCCCGGCATGCCTTTCTGCTCTGCCTTTGAAGGGACTAGGTTACTTTCTGATATTTTTATAATGGTTTTACTTTCAAGTTTTCTGGGCACATCCAAGAAATCTGTCTAGATTTACACATCCTATAAGACTGGGGATATATGTGACTTGGTAATAATAGGCCTCCTGTTCAGTAATTACTAACTTTCATACTTAATTGTTTTTGTCTCTGTACCAGCTATGACAGTAAGTACACTGCTTTGTGAAAAAAATACATAACTCAGTGCTACACTCTGTAAGATGTTCTTTTGAGGCTGTTGTACAAAGATGATTTCTCTACCATTGCAATTCTTTCTCATTACAGTATGAAAAGGCTTTCCCTTAGAAAAGAATTATTAAGTGAATGTTAATTGCTTTTTATCCCCACTGTTTTGTGTCTTGGAAAAAATGTGGTATTTTCCAACATTATTTTCTCTTTTTTTTTTTTTTTAGGCATCAGCAAGAATCTACTAAAGACCCAGTCATACTCAATGCTCTTCTACATGTGTGCAAGACCATGCATGACTCTGTGAAGTAAGATCAGTTATATATGTTTTGTAAGGCTTGAATGCTATGATTTACAGTTCTAATTTGGGGGGTTAACAATTCAAAATGGCTTTACCATTAATGGGAGTGATGCAGTGTGGTTGCAGCATGGACTATTCCCTCTTGAATTACTGTTCTGAATGCTCAAGCAGAGTACGAATGGAAGTTGACAGTGACTTCATGGGTGTTCCTAGTGGGAAGGGAAGCAGCAAGGATCTTTCTGAGAGTAAAAAACTGTGAAAAAAGTAGTAGAGGCAATTAAATGTTGTCAGTTTGGGTCCTTTTCAATTTATTGTATTTACTCAAATCCAAGGAAGCAGGCTGCAGAGGGGAACAGGGGGTGAATAGGCATCGGCACAGGCGCACATGTGGCAGGGGGCAGCAGCAGAGGAGCAGACAGGCATGGGGGGAGCAAGGGGCAGGTGTCTGGCCCCCTCATGTCCTACCTGCCTGCTGCCACTGCTTTTCCTGCCACAGCAGTGTGGGGGAGGGGGAAGGAGAGACGCACTAATTTAAGACTACATTTCAGTAATTAGATTCTATATGTGGAAAATTCTAACAGTTCTAAAAATGTGTGGAATCTAATTATTGCGGGGGCATCTTAAATTTGAAGTCACCTTGAATTCGGGTAAATATAATATCTGTCTGTGATGATAAAAACTGGAGTCTCGTCTAAGTACTACTATTAGTAAAATATATAAGGGGTTTCAATTCATTTTGCCATTTAAAGTAGAGGTCCCAATACTCCGTTGTCCTTTAGCTGTTTCCAGTTTATCACTCAGTACTTGGCAACCCTAGGTCTTGAAAAGAATATGTAGAGAATCTCCTTTGGGTAGGGCTATTCTTGGATGATATAGGAGCTCCTGTGTCACTTCCCTGGCTTGGCAGGAGAGAGAGTTGGGTGTCCCTTTCTTCCACTGATTCCTGGATAATGTTTCTCTGAGGCTATTGGTATAGGAACAGTTTAGAATAGTGTTCCCTTTTCTCCAGGATCCCTCTTCTATACTGAGTCCTTAGCAACCATGGCTGAGAATCCATCCCATAAGATTAGCTGCTACTAATAATCTAAATTCTTTAGAAAAAGAACCACCCCTGTATCAAACATCTTGCTATGGGAGACTAACTGACTTTTCTGCAGTGCCTTTCATCCAGTTTCTTTTAAAATACTCGGTAGGTACCAATTAATTAGGCCTCACAAACACACTTTTTGAAGTAGGGATATATGACTGTTGCAATTTAGAAGAGGAGGTGAAATACAACAGTGAAGTGATGTATCCAAAATCATATAGAAAATTAATGGCAAAATTAGGAGATAAGTTCTCCAGGTTAGTGTCTTATTAGCAAAACTATCCATTCTCTTTTCTATTTGTCCTTGCAATTCTGTACAGCTCAGTTCCTTGTGGTACACTCAACCATGAACCATTTATAATTTAGTGCTTATATTTTAAAGGTAACTTGAAACTTTTTAGCCTTTATTATTGTAATTATTTTAGGGTTTAGTCTCTGAATGCAAGGATATATTGGTAATAGAGGAAATCAGCTTTGACATGTGATTCAAACTGATACCAGTCCAACTGTTTAATTGTAAGGTGTGTCATCTTTTGGTGTCTCTCTGGGATACCAGTGCCCTTTCAGTGCCTAAGGAGTGAGAATATTGGAAGCAAAATTCAACATTAAGGATTCAAGGAAGTTTCTAGTGGTCTGTAGTTGACACTTTGTCTGATCTTATTGCCAAAGCAATCCTGAAACTTTTACTGGGAGTCTTGAAAACCCTTATATTAGTAGTTCCATTAGTTAGCATCATTCGTTTGATTCTGTTCTGTCAACTCTTCAGTGGCAAATTTGTATATAGATTTAATAAGTTTAAACTACCTTTTCTGAACCATTGTTCATGAAAAAAGGCAAAAGCTTCACTCCTGGGTCTAGGGCTCAATATGACATAGACCAACACAACAGCTGTTGAATGGTAACAACGTTGAGACTGTAATACCAGTCTGGTGCAGAATTAAACTGACAACCTATATAATTGACCCCATAGATCCCATTGCAAATCTCCTGTGCCATCCAGACCTCCATCACTTGCTCTTTTGATTGGCAATGTGCTAGCGAGCTAATTGTGCTGATACTTTTCTTTTTTTCTACTGAATTTGTATAATAAAACTATTGTTCTGTTTCTGTCTGGTGTCTGTGTTAGGAAAAAGGTAAAATGATATGCTGGAGGTCAAAGCTGCAGCATAATGCTAAAAGGATTAAATTGGCTTACTTAATTTCAACTTAACTTTTTGTTTATTCATTCTAATCAAAATAGACTTGGCTTATTACATTTTAACATGATGTAAATTTGCCTCATATTGAATGTGACCTCTGCTTTCTGAAGTAAAGATTACCATGAGGACATCTATCTAGATACTTTTATATACTTTAATGCAGTTTATAACAGCATGACATCTAGTGAGCACTGTAATATGCACAGTTGAGCTAATCAATTGAGAACTGAAACTTGAAAGAAAGTTTAATACCATAAAGAGGAAGGAACTTGAACATAGATTAGCTTTTTTTTTCTTGTTGATAGTTGATTTCAAGTCATATTTGCATTCAGATCTTTATTCTGTAGTGCAGTGGTACTCAATCTTCTGGCCCCATGGGCCAGATGAGTGGTGTGGAGCCTGTCTGCAGGCCAGATCCTGGAGGCAGGGTTGGTTCATGGGCCAGATTCAGCATGAGGTCAGCATGCAGGGTTGATCTACAAGTGCAGTCTGGCCAGCCCCTGAACACCAACATGACCTGGCATATGTGGCCTTTCCATCTGGCCTGTGGGCCCCGTAGGTCCAGAAATTTTGCAGTGGGAAGTAGTAGCAGCTTAAGTTGCTGCCTCTGGAAGCCCAGACAGTTCATGCTGCCACTGCTCGTTTGCTATCATATTTCCAGACCTGTTGAGAGCTCCACAGACTGAATGAGACAGTCCCATGGGATAGATTCAGCCCCCAGGGTGGAAACTGAGCACCACTTGTAATACAACACTTCGTCCACAGACCTGCTAAACTTGTTTGGGAATATTAATTGGCTTAAACACCATCTCTTTTCATTGGGATTCAAAGTATTTCATAGCGAGATTTCTATTGGTTGCTAAACTTTGTAACATCTTAATCTTTTTTTTGTGGAACTTGCATATTAGTGCAGACTTGATCTGGCAGTATCCCTTTGCTAGTGTTGAAATTGACAGATGGTTATAAATACAGTCGTCTTTTCAGAGTGTTTAAAATTATAGTGCAATGCCAAAATTATGATTAACATCTCACTTAATAACATAAACTGCTGTATGCGGACCTGACCTTTTAAAAAAATGTGTAAGATACACACATGAGCTTATACTTGGAGGTATATGTTTTTTGGAGAGTGGCTTATCTTAATTGACCATGTAAACTTACTTTTTTTAGTGCACTAACACTTGAAGATGAGAAGAGAACGTTAGCAGCTTTGATAAATGGATTTATAAAAATGGTAAGTAGCTGTTGTGTATGACTGCCTATAAAACTTAGAACTGGGATTCTAAAACAGCCCACTGTGGTTGCCAATATACTATTGAAATTCAATCCAAGTTGCGTATCCCACTCATTTAGGTCTATCAGAAATCCTAGCCAGGAAATATTTTGTAAAGTAAATACACAGATGTTTGAAGGAACTGTCATATAACCAATGATGATGAGTTGGTATCACATGTATAGTTTAAAGTGTGGGTATTTCAAAAGATGTTAAAATCTTCTGGTTATTTTTTTTGTTTGTTTTTAAGTCTCATATAATGATGACATTCTTGCCTATTGTGAGCAGTATCACTAGTTGATTGAATTTTGCCAGTCCCAGCTGAAGGGGATGAAGGCAAAGTAAAAACACAAAGTAAGACTTAAAGATTACAGGTGCACTGATACATTGGTCTGATGTTGGATCGGCACCGATACAAAGAAAATTGATTGTATCGGAAATTGGCCTTATGTGGCCAATAATTTGGCTGATAAATGCCAGTGCATGCACACAGGTGTTGTGCAGCACACAGGCAATGAGGAGCACAGCCCGGCAGCTTGGAGAGCTGCATGCAGCTGGTAAGTCTGTTGTGCTGGAGAGGGGGGAGGGAAGGAGTATGGGGGCGCAGATCAATACCCACTGTGGTGAGGGAGGAGTGGGGCAGGGGCTGGGGCAGGCGCTGCCCAGCCATGGCAGGACAGGGCGCAGGATTGGCAGTGGTGCTGGGAGTGGGGGCTATGGTGAAATTTGGGGTGGCTGCAGCTCCCCCCCCGCCCCTCTCCCAGTGCCACCACTGCCACCCACTCTGAGCTCAGCCCTGTGTAGCCTCTGCCCCACCCTGCACAGATCTGAGGGCATGCGCCTTCCCTCTGGTGCCCTCCTGGGGTACGCACAGCAGCAGGAGCTGTCTCCCCACTGCACGTCTTGGATGAGCCAGGGTTCCGTCCTACTGCCCGGCTGGGCAGCGCCTGCCCCAGCCCCACTTCCTCCCTCACCGCAGGGGGCGTTGATCTACCCCCCCTACATCCCCTCCCCTTCCACCACAACAGGCTTACCAGCTGAAGGCAGCTGTATTGGAAATTGGATTGGTATCAGCCGATATGCCTCCTTAAAAAGCTGGTATTGGTGTTGGTCCCCCAGAATATTGATGAACCCCTGTTAAAGATTAAAAACCATCAGGAGTTTGGACCCATTGAAATCAGGATGCTGGTATAAAAATACAAAACCTCTCTGAGACATTTTGTTACCTTCTAATTTTTGATCCTTTGGGGTGTGTTTCTAGAGACGCTTTCCCCTATGATCCGTGAAACTAGAAACAGTTTTTGAATAAGAGATTTTTGTTTAATCACTTGGCTACACAAGAGAGGTCTTCAAGAAAATAATCAAATATGGCAGGACTTTTATTTGCTGCATGCAAATAAAAGATGTTCCACTGGCTTTTGAGGTAGAAGCAAACTGGAAGTTGGGAGTATAAACACTTCCACATTTATACTTTGTTTCTATTATCACAAATCCTGGCTCATCGTTTAACCATTCATAGCTACCAGGCATTCCCCATTTTTCTCAATGTCTTCTTTCTTCTAATCAGATGGCCAGTCGGCTTTGTACTTTTATCCAGCTAGCCAGTTTCTCTTCAACTTTAATATTCATTAATAGCCATCTGTTTACTGCTTAAAAGATTTAATCTGATAGTTCTTTACCACATAAAATATTGCAGAACTTCTCAGAGGGGAAATTGTAACATATTAAATATGTTTCTCTGTAGTTGTAGAAGGTTCAGTAATGGTATATGATGTGTAATGCTGATTTAAATACAGAAGCACAGTGCAGTATCAGCTGGGTGGTAACTTGAAATTTGTGGCATTAAACTGTGAATTCCTGCCTTGTTTAATATGCTTTTTGTTATAACCCAAGTTCTCACGGCCTGCAGCCTCCTCTTTGAGTTTTTCTTTGCTGTTGGTTATTTTTGTGGGGGATTATAATTGGAGACACATCCTTAGTACAGCCAAGCCTGCTTGTTCAGGAAACTGTGTTTTTACAGACATTCCCCAGGGACATACTCTCAGAGAATCACAATTTGCCCAAAAGTTAGAAAGTCAAAGTAACTTGCATCTGAAATTTAAGAAGCAGTGCTATTTTCAGTGCAGTCCCTTTTAATCCTTTTATGTAATGAAAGCTTCAATTTAAATCAATATTAAATTATTCTTTCATGGGTGACTTGAGTAAGATGTTGGTCTTCCTTTCTTTTCTTTATATCTTATATTGGAACAAGCTTCAGAAATATTTTAAATGTATAAATGCAGGCTAACTTGAAGATTGCTGCTTCTTTCATGCATCTGACCTGATCACTAAAATGTTCTTGCAGAGAACTGTTCCTTTTAAATTCTGGAAAACTAGGAGTCTATGATCAGAGTCTTAAAAGGCAAGCCATACAAGGAAAGGCTGAAGGATCTGGGACTCTTCAGCCTGAGGAAAAGAAGGCCGAGAGGGGACCTGGTAGCAGCTTACTGCTACGCTAGGGGAGTACATCAAGAGCTCGGTGAGCAACTGTTCACCAGGGTACCCGAGGGGAAAACCAGGAGTAATGGTCACAAGCTCCTGGAAAATCGATTCAGGATCAACATTAGGAAAAACTTCTTCACAGCCAGGGTGTCCAGACTTTGAAATAAGCTCCCTCCAGTGGTGGTGCAATCACCTACCCTGGAAATCTTCAAGAGGAGACTGGACGGTCACCTTGCTGGGGTCACCTGACCCCCAATTATCTTTCCTGCTTGGTGCAGGGGGGCTGGACCTGATGATCTTCCAAGTTCTCTTCGGCCTTACAATCTATGAATCACAAGAGGGTTTACTTTTGAATTTCTCTCCTGGCCTTCCTGGTGGAGTCCATAGTTTGGACTTTTGGAGTGTCGCAGAAAGGATATCTATTACCAAAGTCAAGCAAAGACTTGGACAAATTACTTTAAAGCTTTAGTTAGGGACGTTGCTTCAAAACCCCATGTAAAACAGAACATATTAATATAGCATATAGAAAGCTTCTAGCTGTGAGCTGCAGACATGGTTAAAATATGACACTATCTTTCTATCCTAGGTTTCATTTGGCCGTGACTTTGAACAACAGCTGAGTTTCTATGTTGAAGCCAGATCAATGTTTTGCAATTTGGAACCTGTTCTTGTCCAGTTGATTCATGTAAGAGAGAGCTCATCTCTAAATGTAGTTTTTATCAGTTATGGATTTGGGGGGGGGGGGGGGGGGG